TGTGCATATCTTAGTAATTTGCCTGCTCACAAGTACAGGCTGTGTACCTGTGGAGAATGGATGGATAAATGGAGTAAAAGTATTTGTGAGACAGAGATAAATTGTGGGCAAAAAGAGAAACATGTACTGTTTGTATAAATGGAAGGCTGTAAGGTTTAAGTCCAGCAGGTGCCACCATATAATCTAGTCTAACTTCCTATACATAAGTGTTAGTGGAATTTCACCAAGCTATCTACAATGCACCCAAAAAATCAGTATTATTTTGTAGAATAACTTCCAAAAAGGCATCCATTTTAATGCAGACATGCAAGAGATGGATGTTCCTTAATTTCTTGTGTGTGTAATTATCCTCACTGTTCAAAACATGTGCTTAATTTCCAGTTTTAATTTGTCTGGGTTTCATTTTCAGCCATTGGTTAATTTTATCCACTTGTCACTCCTGCATTCAATGTGAAAAAAAAAAAATGGTGCATGTCAAATTGAGAAATATGTGAAAAATATGGGTGTTAATAGCAGCATTCATGCACAACATGGACTGAGAACTGTGGTGGCATGTCTGCATGTCTCCACCATAATCCCCTGTTTTCACTCACTACATCTTTTGAAGCATGAACATTTTGGACTGAAATTCTGCTCATTCCCTCATACAAATGAATCTTCTTAAGCAGGTCTGAGCAGAACTCTGGCATCTCTCATTGAATGATGGAGGAATGATTAGAAAAAACAGTTTTCCCCACAACTGCCCCCCACCATTCAGCACATTTTTAGATATTACTTGAATGAAGTACAGCTGAGATTGACACGCAAAGCTTGAAGAGAGAGGCACAGCCCTCTGTGGAAGCATGTGCCCTTATTATGTTTTTTTCCTTTTGAGGTGAAGATTGATCAGTTGTTTATATTCAGGTTTTGAAGTGTGCCTATCGTAACACAAATTAGGCAAACAATAAAAAGATTGAAAACATATGTAATCATAAATAAAATGAGTCTGAATATCAACTGTGACACAAAGAGCACTCCCCAGTGGGTATTTTAACAAAGTCCATCCTCACCCCACCCATCCTTTCAGGAAGAGCCTGGGTAAATAGAAAGATTTTCTAAGAGCACAGAAGGCCAACAAATTCAACTTTTATAGGTTGAGTCTGGCAGTGAAATCTGTCATTGAGGACATTTTACTGACATCCTCCATCTGACATAAATTTGGAGACACAAATCAACAGATATCACTTCAGCTGCTGTGGTCTTATGTAATAAAGGGCAGAGGTCTTAGAAGTAGGTTAGGTTGCAATTTAGAGGTGCAGCAGTTTGGTACAGGATGGATGATCTCATTTCTTGGGGTGGACCAGAGGCAAAATCAATCTGTAATGCATGTAAAAGCTTCAGGGTAACAAAGTAGTGTGGGAAAGAGCTTGCTGAATAGGTGCAATTGTGTCTAATTGAGTCCATGTTGTGAGGGCACTGCTAAGAATGCAAGGTGTTTCTGCAGGCATAAAAACCAGACTGACATTTGAGTCAACCATGGACGAAAGAAAAGGCAGATATGAGCTGCCTGCTTAAAAATCTTAAAGGCTTTTGTTCTGTTTGGAATTTTTTCATGTATTTCTGTCTCTTGAAATGGAGTCTGAGTTCAGATCCACAGCAGTTCTTTCTCCCTGCCTCCTCTAGAGTGAAGTAATGGGATCCAGCTCGAATTAGGCAGGGTTTTTTTTTTCTACTCCTGCGAAAAATGAAAAAAATTTATATTCATCAGGTTTATTTATGACTCACTGAGGGCAGATTGTGCTAGAAATTATAAGGTTTCTCTTTAATCAGAATATACACTGTTTAGAATGGGGACCAGATTTTGCCCTGTCTTTATAAATTGCCTACTGTAGCAAGCCTGTAAGCTTGATCAGAAAATTTCAGTGCTGTCATAATTCAGACAATAATAATAATGTACTAGTACTGGGCAAGGAACTCCAAACCCAAAGTGCCTTAGATAATGCTTGAGCTGATTTGAGGTTCCAAGTGGAAACCAGTTAAATCTGGATTGTAAGAAATGGTTTCAGCCCCATGATCATCCTAGCTATTACCAAGTTTCTTGCTGGGTTATAACTTTACATAAATTCAGTGTTTGGTGTAAAATACAGAGTGCTGTAATTCTCTGAAAAAGGTCTGAAGTAGATGGCCACATCTCCTGTATTCCCAATCCAGCAGATTTATTTTTCACTCAAAGTCCCCCCCCATTTAATCTGAGGGCAACATTTTTAGACTTAGATACCAATGAGATTTGCTGTTGAGATCTTCAGGTCTGGGATTTCAGTCCTGGAGAGTTGCACTTGATGATCCTTGTGGGTCCCTTCCAACTCAGAATATTCTGTGATCTGAATATTCCACAAGAGAATGTTATCAGCTGGCTTGGCATACCTCTTGGAGATCATGCTGTGTTGTGGTCTCATTGCCTGAGACAGCTGGAACAGCTGATTGTGGAAATACTTGTCTGTGAAGCCATGTGGAAGGTGACAAATAGATATAAATTCAGTTTAATTTAGTTGCTGGGTGTGTGCTGGGCAGCAAGACTGCTCTGCAAGGGTGGAGGAACAACACAGGCCAGCGTGCATCATCAGATTTCCATCTGTCTGATATACAGAGTTGAAATCTTGGAGACATACTTTTTATTATTTATTTACTCTTCATCTGAAGATGTAGGCAATTGGGAGATAAGCTCTGAAGAGCTCTCAAATTGATTTTGCTTGTGATGGGTTGCTACAGAGATCTGTAACAGTGGGAGAATGAGGGTCACCCCTTACACAATGTTAACACGATTGTAAGGAAAACAAGAAACTGCAACTGGTTGTTCCTTATGACAGTTTCCTGATTACTGGGCAGATTGCATGATTGCTGGTGAATAGGAATGAATACTTAAGGGGATTCTCATGAAATACCTGGTGTACTTGCTCACTGTAGGAAACTGTTGATAATGTAGTAAGGCAATGGATGTGTTTAAAACCATATTAAGAGATATTTTCAGCTTTCTTAACAGATGATCTATGTGATAACTGTCCAAGGACAGGAAGTACATATCTGTTCAATGGATAAGGTTTTGTGGGAATTTTTGCTTAGGGTATTCTTTTTATTTCCTTTTTTAGTTTGCTGAGCAACTGGTGGTTTAAAAAAGACATTTTAAAGAGGCTTTTAAAAGCAGTTGTTCTCCTTGCTGTGTAGGGGTGCTCTGTGTGGGTACAGAGAGTAGAATAAACTTCATCTTTGTGTGGTCTCACTGCAAAGACAAATCCTGAGCTATAGACACTGGGTATTGACTCAGTTGTGGCCATTGTCCAGCTGCCACAGGCTAGGAGCAGTGTGTTCTCTCCTGTGCCCTTACAGCTGGACTTGAGAGTTGAAAAGATCATAGACTTCTTACTAATCCAACATCTTACTAATGATGGCAGTGTCTGTGGTCAGTTTGCTAATGCAGTTTTATTCCAGAGTCTCTTTCTTGTGGAAATAAAAGACCCCATTGATTTATTATTGTATTCATAGCCTTTATTTTCTAGACCTAAATGAAAGATTGATACCGCTTGAAGTTGCTTACAAATAGCAGGAAGTGTTTTTCTTTACCTTCCCTGCATCCCACTTTTAGTGCTGTTAATTCAGCTCTTTCCTTTCTTCCTCATCTGCCACTGTGATCCCTCATGGCCATGTTGCTCATGGTTTGCACTCTCTTTGAGAAGAGTTATTTCTATAATGAAAAACTCTCAAAGCAGAGCATGAAAGTAGCCAATTAAAGTCTTCGGTGTGCGGAGGATGAAAATGCTGTTCTAGGTCTGGCAAGTGGCTCAGCCATGTTTTACACTTTAAATTCTTAAAGCAAAATTGGGATAACTGAATCCCTGCTGAACCTATACCCTCACCCTTCTTTCAGCAAAGGAGAAAAGTAGTATCAGAACATGGTGATGGGAGAGGTTTGGCCCCAAAGAGTCTGACTGATGGCTAAATCAGAACGGTTTTGTTGCTTTTAATGTTTAAGTATTTGCAATACAAACATTATCTGTACTTGGTTTTAGCCAGTGCAGAACTCTGATTTTTTTTCTATGTTCATGGCTGCACTGCTAACTTAAATGTGTCATAATGTAAAGAAGGAGACTTCTTAACCATGATGTGTCAGACCACTGTCAGAAGCAAAGTGAATGAATGTCCTGACTGGGTCTGGCACATTCTAGCTTCCTAATTCACTTTCCCTGCTCAAAAAGATAAGAGGAATGCAGGCCTCTCCCTTTATCTCACACAGTGATAACCTCAGCAAAGATTTGAATGGGACACAGGATTATTAGGATTTTAAGATCTTGCTTTCCTTTTCAAGCAGGATGAAACTAAATGTAATCATCTGTTGGGGCAGATGAATACAATGAGTTCTCAGCTGTAGGCTTTCATCACAGCAGAGCTCTTGTGTGATTTGTCCTGGCAGGGCTCCGGGCTCACAAAAATTTTGTGGGTGTCAGATGTTTGGCACTCAGAACTGACCACTGAGAGCTGTTGTCATACTTGTGTTTCTCTGCTTTCTAGTCTTTAAAATGTAGAATACTGCCACCATTTTCAGCATGTGATATTTAGAGGAGACTAATGAAAAGCTGCTATGCTGAGTACAATTTCATTTGTGTGGGCCTGAGAAACAGTCTGCTCAAATGCTGCTGTGAGTGCTCTGACAGGATCATGGTGCAGGCTAGGAGGATGTTTGCTCAGCCACAGGGCTGGGCTTTTATGGATTTGGTGTTTTCTTGTAGCCAGCTGACAGTGTGGTGTGGCTGCTGCCTTCACAGGGACTGTTTACTCAAATTCACTTCTGAGAAACCATACAAAACCAGGGTTGGAAATGATGCATCTCAATTTCACCACATATTTTCACAACTGCACATGGAGCAGCCTCTGTAGCCATGCTTACTGTGCTTTAGAAAACTGCTTTTTGTGTTACTTTTTAGTGTCCAGTTTGCCATAGCACCAATGTTTCCCTATCCCTGTTGCAGGCTGTCCTACCAGAGGAACGATGACGATGACGAAGAAGCTGCCAGAGAACGGCGCCGGCGGGCTCGGCAGGAGAGGCTGCGGCAAAAGGAGGAAGGAGATCTCTCAGGAGAAGTAACAGAGAAATCTGAGGTTAATGCCCAGAACAGGTAAATGTCTGATGTTGTTTACTGACAAGTCAATGGTAGGTTTTGTCCAGAGGTTTGCTCTGGTGCTTGAATTTAAAGTACTGGGTTTGGCCACCCTTAAACTGAACAAGGACCTCACGCTGTGAGGATCAGCCTGGCTGTGTCTACTTGGTAGGGTGGGAGCATCATACATCTGGCTCATGGCACATATCCAAGTGTCCTCGAGGCTGTCTGTGGGCTAATTCAGTTGGAGCTCATGGAGGCTCTCAGGTTCTCTCAAACATGGGTGCATTTGGCCTCACAGAACACCACATCTCTTGTTCTGCTCACAGGGATCATGGCACCGTGTGCCAAAGCACTGGGTGGCACCCAGTCTTCAAGCTGTGTCTGCAGCACACCTGCAAGGTGCTGGGTGTGAGCTCTAGAGTACAGCACTCACCTGGCATTGGCAGTGTCGGACAGGTATAAAGAGGAGAAAAGCTTATGGAAGGAGGTGACCTTTGAATTCTTGGATTCTTCGGGTTTGGAGGGGCCTTTAAGACCATCAAGTGCAACCATCAACCCAGCAGTGCCCCTGTGGCCCCTAAACCATTAGACCGTATCACTCCTATCACCACCCACTTGTTACAAAGCTGAGTGGCCTCTCTGTCTGTCCAGAGCTGGCCTTCCTGTCCATCCATCATTTGTTTAGTTTCACATAGTCATAAACAATATACCCAGATTTCCAGTGGCCACAACACAAGTGATAGAAAAAAATCAAAATTGTGATGGCAAGTGCTAATAGATACTGAGCACAAGAAGCACTTTATTTAAGGCAAGGAGAATGGATCTAGATAGCAAAACAGCAGCTAAATTTTGAAGTGTGTAACCTGTTTTCCAACCATGGAATGATGATACAGCGAGCCTTTTTCCTAGAAAGAGTGAAGTGCATGTGTTGTTAGAAGGATTTTCTTTTTTTAATGCAAACCTGTCCCTTTTACACAGTGTGGCAGGAGAGGAAAGCAAGCGCTCTACAGATGATGAAGCTGCATTGTTGGAGAGGCTGGCAAGGCGGGAGGAGAGACGCCAGAAACGTCTGCAGGAAGCTCTGGAACGTCAAAAGGAATTTGACCCCACGATCACAGATGGGAGCTTGTCAGTGCCCAGCAGGAGAGAAGTAAACAATGTGGAAGAAAATGAGAGCACGGGGAAAGAGGAAAAGGCTGAAACACGCCGAGGACGCTATGAGATTGAGGAGACAGAAACAGTTACCAAATCATACCAAAGGAACAACTGGAGGCAAGATGGGGAAGAGGAGGGAAAAAAAGAAGAAAAAGACAAGGAGGAGGTACAGGAGGAGAAACCTAAGGAGCTCCCCATAGAGGAAAACCAGGTAGATGTGGCAGCAGAAAAATCCACTGATAAAGAAGAGGCAGTAACTGTAAATGCAGAGGAACACAAAGCAGAGAATGATACAAATGCTGTGCCAGAAGGGACGCAAAGTGTACCTGATGCTGTAGATAAAGAGAAGCTTAGGGATGAGGAAAAGGCTGAGGAAGAAAGGAAGGAAGCAGAAGAAAGGGAGAGGTTAAAAGCAGAGGAAGAAAAGAGGGCAGCTGAGGAAAAACAAAAAGCAGAAGAAGAAAAGAGGGCAGCTGAGGAGAGGGCTAAGGCAGAAGAGGAAAAGAGGGCAGCCGAGGAAAGAGAGAGGGCTAGAGCAGAAGAGGAGAGGAGGGCGGCTGAGGAAAAACAGAGAGCAGAGGAGGAAAAGAGGGCAGCTGAGGAGAGGGCAAAGGCAGAAGAGGAAAAGAGGGCAGCTGAGGAAAAGGCTAAACTAGAGGCAGAGAAATTAAAGGAAAAGCAAAAAATGGAAGAACAGAAAATAGAAGATAAACAGGTAAAAGAGAAGGAAGTAGAAGATGAAAAACCTCAAGCAGCTGTCTTAAAAAAACAGGTACAGTAAACATTTTGCACCAAAATAAGACACCTGTGGTTTGTGTGAAATGTAATGCAAAAAAATGCAAGGAAAGATTGAATTAGAATGTCCTCACAGAGCTAGTCCTGTACTGAAGTTACTAACACTTGTGCTGTTGCTCTCTATTTTTAAAAATAAATCCCCTCCTGCTTACCAATAATTCAGCCCACAACAGGCCTGACCTCACTCCATCGTTCAAAGAAAACCTTGCATGTTCAGACCTCTGCATGTGCTTTTGCTGCTTTTTTCCCCTCAGCTATAAAAACTGGCCTAATGCAGTAACACATGAGGTGGAGGCAGACACATCTTGGCAGAAAATATTATGAGCACCTGTTAAAGTGTGTGAGGAATGCTGTGTGCTAAATGCAATCACAAGAAAAGGCTCTGTACTGAGACACGTGAGCATGATGCCACGCCAGGGAGAAAGGCCCAGATGGGGCAATGGGAGGATTTAGAGAGGGTGGAGGGGGCACAGAGGTGTGGGCACAGCAGCACATGATGGAGTTGTGGCTGCACACTGGATTGGTACTGAACACAGCGTGGAGAAACAAACAAAAAATGCAAACAGGTGCAATGTTTTTGTCTTTAAAAATAAATAAATTATTGAAAACCCAAAAACAAAGGAGGAAGAAAAAGTGGAAGCTAAAAAGGAAAAGCTGCCAGAAGAGAAGCTCCAAGCTACCTCCATAAAAGATCAGGTAACTCATAAACCACTGATTTAGATGTGATAGGGAAACTTGAGATATGAAAACAAATAAGGCAACTATAGGTAAATGTTGCTTCTTCAGCAGAGTACTTAAGCTTGTGCTCCACTTCAAGAACATGGGTAATCCTGCTGAAATAAATAGGGATGAAGCTCCTTAAATGCTTAAAATTAAGTAAATTCTTAAGTAGTTTGTTCTTTTGGGGCTTTAGGACCAATTCCTGTTTGTCTTAAAACAAATATTTCAGGAAACTCAGTTCAGTCAACAACACAAGTATGGTTTTCCCTCTTGGGATGAATTTTTCAGGACAGTATTAACTAATCATCCTTCTCTGGTTTCCTCTCACTTTACTGTGAACTTTTTCCCTATGAACAAAACCTACTCTAATAATCATCATCATTGTTATTATAATTAATAATAATCATTGTAATTATAATAATAATCTAGGCCCTTTGGCCAGCAGACTGCCTTAACTAATAATTCCCCTGCAAGCTGCAACACCCCGTAATGTAAACTGTGCATACCCAAGATTCTTCTTTTGTTTTAAAGAGAAAATCCACCAAAATTACTGCATTGCATTTCCACTGTAAACACAGGAGCTGGTGCCATGGTGTTTTACTGTATGGTAAGTAAATAAGATTTGGGGACCATTTACTCTTCAGGGTGGAGCTGGACACAAGGAGCCATGCTCGGTGCTGTGCAGTGGTTTTGGTTTCTTAAAACAGCTCCTGATTCTGATTAGGGGAGATTGCTCAGAGGCTGCCCAGAGCCTTGGAAGTTTGGACCCATTTGGGTTCAGGCAGGTCCGTGTGGCTTAAAGGAGCCACAGCACAGCTTGCTGCCTGTCTGGTGGACTGGGACCACTGAGGGTTGTGGAGGGTCCACTCCAGGGTCCTTAGTTAGCAGATGAGTTTGGAACATGCTGTAGATGCTTAGCTCACCCTCAGAGAGCAGTGAGGAAATAGCTGCACAAAAAATAAGGGATGGATTATATTAAGAAGCAGAACCAGTTTCCACTATTCACTTTTGCATGCAATCTTTGTATATTATAAGTAAATGTAAAGAGGAATCTGTAGCTGACCACAAACTTTGATTTGTAGGAACTCGAGACACAGTTGTCCTGCTTGTTCTTATGTAGAGCTTGGCCAGCTCTCCCTGGAGCTCTCATCATGCTTTTAAACCCTACCCACTGGGCTAGATTATTCCAGGAAATTGGCAAGACTTATAAAAGTTACTTGTGATTTTAGTGTTTCCATCTTTGGATGCTGAAGCTGAGACAACTTAATAGTATCCCACTTCTAGTACAATGCTGGATACCCATGCTGAGCATTCAAAATATCTTGAAAATCTCAGATGTTGTTTCTTTACTTGTGGACAAAAACTGATGATCAGGCTTCCATCTCCACTTCTCACCCTCCCTTTCCAGGACATAAAAATTCAGTGAGGTTTCTTTCTGAATGTGCATGCAGCTAAGAGGATGCCAGTGTTCCATGAACAAGACCCTTGGGGAACAGAGTGTATCTACATAATCAGGTTTTGCTTTTGCTTTGGACCTCAAAGTTCAGGTTTTGATTAATTTGGCAAGAAAAAATTTGTCTCTTTCTCTGAACTTCTGCACAGTTTTTTGTTCTTAAAAGTGACCTTAGAAGTTCACAAGAACAAGCTTTCTCATGATGTGAGACTCTTGGTATTTCCTGCTTCCAGTTTGGCTAGACATGCTGCAGCAGTTGCTTTTCTCATGGTATTTGGGGATGGCAGTTGAATTTACAGGAGAGCCCTAGACCCAAATGCCCACAGCTTTTAACTCACCAAATAACTGAGTCCAAGTAAGGAATCAGACCTGCCAGATGGGCCCCAACCTCAGTAGCTAATATCCTTCAGTCTGAAGGTGTTCAAACTCAAGATTCAGAAATCTCAGCTCTCAAATAATACCATGAAAATTGAACAGAAAAAAAAAAAAAAAAAAAANAAAAAAAAAAAAGGCAGTATGGAAAGAGATATAAATACATAAAGCTGGGAATTTGTTAACCATGCCTTTGGTCATGTTCTAGCTTGATATCAAGATTTGTGAGATTTATCACATGTAAAACATGTGAGCTATTTCAGTTCAGGTAATATCACCTGTCTGCTCCAAGTTGAGTTCTTTTTGAATTGAGCAGAAGCTGAATTAGTCTGTAATTTAGGGAAGCAGTGAGACAAGAGAAAGAACTTATCTTGTTGCCTGCCTTTGGAATGAGATAGAAAGGTTTCTGCTTCTTTGCTAATCAATCTCTACTTTGGTGTTAAAATTAGTAGAAGGATTGAGCCCAAAAGATGTAAAATGTTTCTGTAATATCTTGTTTTACCATATTTTTGAATGAAAAGGCCAAGCTGTGTTAATGGTTTTTTGAAATGCAGACACATTATCATAAATCCTAGTGGCTTCTGAAATTCTATTTCCTAACCTATTAATTTTTAAACTATATTGTTTTAGTATTAGTTTTCTCGGTGATTTCAAATAAGATGTAAGAGATACAACCCTCCCCAGTGGACCTGAATACATAAGGCAGCTGGAAGTGTTGGCGTTTTAAATAAGACTTAGGAAGGTCTTGATGAAAATCTCAGCAAAGGAAATCTTATGCTCTCAAAATCCCAGGACAGACATCCTGGCATGAGCAATCTTGCAACCAATCAACACAGATGGTTTCAGCATCACCCTGACTGGGGCTGAAGGGTTGGGAGATTGCTGCTGTGAACATGATCACCAGCTCACCCTGATTTGGGAACGCCCAGAAGATGATGCTGTCTGATGGCATTCAGCAAGATAAATGAATAGCCCTACTTGTCTCAGCCCAGCTCCTAGAAACCAGCAGGACCATTTCTTGAGGCCCTCTATTGCAGCAGTTGCAGCATCATGGCCATGCTGCTGCACGGCCATGGAAGCTGAACTCCCCTCTTGTCCCTCAGGGAGCTGCTGCCAGGCCTTGTTGGCAGGAGAGGGTGGGAAAATCTGCACCTCTGCTGCCTGCTCTCAGAGCAGAGAAAATGCCTCTGTTGGTTGTGCCCAACACCCCCCAGCAGCAGGAAATTTGCTGAAGTGGTTTAACCATACTGTGCTCACTTATAACCTGTGCTACCATGGTGGCATCCATCCCATCCACTTCTCTGAGCAGCAAACTGGCCTCAGGTAAAGTCAGGCTCTGACTCTGGGGCTTCACTCTGCACCAGCCTAACTCAGTGCTTTAGGAGGATCTTGGCTTTGAAGGCTCGGAACTCATCCTTTTTAGGTAAAGATTTTGCTTCTCCAGGTGTTGAGTTGGATGGATGTTCTTCCTCTTTGATGAGGAAGAGCTGAAATTTCTTTTGATTAGGGTTGTGAAGGTGTATGCTTCTTTTTCATTTCAAGGTGCACCTTAAGACACCTTTAAGGGCAGCTGTGTTGCAGACAGGAGAGTTACAGAAGTTCTTTATCTTTCTAGTTAGCAAGCAGGATTGCAACAGGCTTCCAAAGTATTTATTTTCTAAAGATCTCCATTTGAATTCTATACAAGAAGGTATTTCTTGCTTGCCAGCTAGAGCCTTCCTTCAGCACAGAGATCGGGAAAGCAAATTTACTTTGGAAGTAAATGTTTCATCTGCTGCTTTTAAAAGTTTGTTTTGGCTGGTAGTCTTAACTAACAGAGAGTATTTCTACCTGAGGATGCGTAACTTAAATCAGTTCACTTTCACCTTTTACCAGCATCTAACCATGACTCAGCATGGTGGGGCCAGGCCATCTGTGGTGTTGATAAATACTTCAAGCTCATAACTCTGAAGAAATACTGGAGAATGAAATTTATGCACAAAATACTCTTGATTACTATTAAGAATCATAAGACATAACTTTTTAAGGATAAAGGGAATTTTTACTCGTGTTTTCCAGAGCATTTCCTTCTTCACAGGTATAAATATTCATGTCTGGTGAATATTTAAAATTTACCCATGACCAGGACTGTACTTTTTGTAAGTTTTGCTCTGATATCAAGATGATTTTGTGGTTTGGCCATTATTCTTGCAATAATGAAGTATCCCTCTGCTGTGACACTGAAAAGAGTATAAACTTTGTCAAACAAGCTTGACATTTGTTGGAAGTTGTGTTATTTTTATTGCACCAATGCCCTAAACCTGGTACCAAAAATGTGTTGGCAAGTCTCAGAGAGTTTGCAACCTACAATCTTAAGAAGCAAGCAGGTGAATGATGCTGCAATGGGAGGAAGAGTTGGGGGTGCAGTTGCAGAGTGAAGCAATGTGGTGGCATAGTCCCATGTCTACAGCCAGCTTTCACAGAAGACTGATAATATTGTTTTCAAGATGCTTTGACCTAGAATTCAGGTCAAGACAGCAAAGTGATTTGATCACAGTTAAGATCTTTGTAGACCACTTCTGCCCTACAGCACATAAACAGTTTGAAGACAGTTCCCAATCTTGCCAAGAAATTTGTATTTCTCAGCTGTTATTTAAATTGCCTCATTCTTTTTTTTTTTTTTTTTTTTTTTTTTTTTTTTTTTTTTTTTTTTTTTTTTTTTTTTTTTTTTTTTTTTTCTGTGATTTGTGCTGTGTTCTGAACAGGTAAAAGATGACAAAGGCAAAGAACCCAAAGAGGAAATGAAAAGTGTCTGGGATCGTAAGAAAGGGGTTCCTGAACAAAAGGCACAGAACGGAGAACGTGAGCTCCCTGCCTCCAAACTTAAACCTACTGAGAATGCTTTTGGGTGAGTTCCAAGTAAGAATTGGGCTTGCTGGTCTTACAGCTGATCAGGGGCCATCTCTGGGTCTCTGCTTGTGGCAACTGAGTGGAGGAACTGGGCTGGCACCACCAGCAGTGCCTCAGGTGTTCACTGGGTTGTACTTCTCTAGTTTCTGAGCTCTCTCCGCTCTGCTGCATGAAGTGCTGAGAGCAGCTGGAAATGGCCTTGCTCCCCCAGCAGAGACAAGAGGCTTGGTTTTGCTCTGCTGGAGCTTTGCTTCCTTACTAATTTCTAATATCTATACAGAGGCCAATAGTGATAAAACCCTAGATTGTGTGTTCTCTAATTTTTTCAGTCAGATCTCAACTTTTACTGTAGTAACCTATTTCCAATTACTCACCTATCTTTAATTAGCAGAATCAAGCACAATCCATGTGGTAACTCTAGAAAGAGCTTCTCTCTTGATTTCAAGGCAAACATTGAAATTAATGTGTTCTGTAGAAAAATGCTTTTCCAGTTAGGTAAAAACCTCTCCTAGCCAAAATAATATATTTTCTCTTTTTTTCCCCCTTCCTTTATATAAGCTGTGCCACAGTTTGATTTTTATTTTATTTTTTAAGGAATTATTTGACTTGTGGTTATATTGGGAAATTCAAAGAATTTCTAATTAAAAAAAATTCTAATGAAAATTTTATTTAAAAGGATACTGCCTACTAAAAGCATGGGATAGATGAAATAAAAACTAAGTTCTTCCTTTTAGCAGGAAACTAGGAGTAGGTTAGGAATCTAAATTTTTCTCTTTCTGCATTTCTCTTCCTCTTTTACATTGACACAGGCAAAGGAAAGGTTAAGCTCTCCAGGCACTTTGAGAAATCTGAGCATGGCAGATGGGATTTGCTATTGTATCTCAGCATTCCCCTCATGATTCTTCCGGGAAAAACAAACTTTCTCAAAATAAAATGCAGTTCAAAAGACCCTGGAGACACCCTGACCTAAGGCCAAAAGACAGACAGTGATGGAGATGGAACAGCAGGAAATTGGCCTTGCTCAAAACTTGGGTCAAATCATCAATAACGGGAATTATTTTCTAAAAATAGTTTTGATGTGTTTTTATTTGCTTTGCTTCCTGTGAGAGACAGGCATTAGTGGCAAAATGTATATTTGAGTTTCCACTCCTTTTGTTTTTTTTTTTAATTTCTCTTTTTCTCCTACTGTTTAATGAAAGTGTGAAGAAGCCTGTTCAACCTTTTATTAGCTGAGTAGAAGATTTGGGTTGGCAAAATCAGCAGAGGTGTCAATGTTTTTTGGGTTGTTAGGTATAAATTAGAGCTATTTTCTAATGAACTGCCTCCACAGAGTTGAGCTTTGTCTGGAACTGTGCTTTGTTCCTTTTTTTTTTTTAATGCACCCATCACATTTTATTTAGAAAGAATATAACTTGACTAGTTTTCAGTGGTGAGAACTGAGAACAAAATAGGGTAGTGGAGGCTAATGAAAAATGTTATCTCTCTTTTGGTCTATGTCCGACAGTAAGAGAAATATAGAATAAAATCCCATTTTATGGCTTCCCCTTCCCATCTCTCCTCCCACCTGCCTTCCTCCCTATTCTCATACAGGACTGCAAAATCCTAAATATGATTTAGGATTTTTTTTCACATTGTTCTGACATTTTTGGCTCCCACAGGCCACTTCTCTCCTTTTCCTCCTTGTCTGAAAGCTGGCAACCAGCTTCATTTCTTAATACCAAAGAGGTACTTACAAAACTCTTCTTCCACCCAGCATCTCAGTACTAATTTCCCAATGTTGACAGCAGAGAAAAGAGCTTTCCCAGGGTCTGCTGAAAACAGAGGAATTGGATGTGGAGGAAAATAAGAATAATTACTGCCAGCAAACTGTATTTTTTTGCTATTTTGTATTATGCACAACCAGTCAGGGAAAGCCTATAAACAACATAAGAATAAAGTAAGTTCAAAACTTTAAACATCCTTCTTTTTAAGGAGGCCAAAACAATCACCCAAGGTCTGCAAGCAAGAATGTTCAGACTAGATTCTGCCCCTGGCTCAATCAGCTGCAAGCTGAATATTTGCTGATTTCATTGAGGCTGACTGGACTGAGGGCTAACTTTCCTTCTGTGCTGATAGAGAACAGAGCAGCTCTTCCTCAGAAAAATCTTGGCAAACATCCTTCATTCCCTTAATTCTGAAGGCCAACTGGTTGCCCTTGCCAGGGGGATCATTTTGTCTGTCTGAAGTTACTTCTTCCATCTTCTCTGGGCCCAAAGCTTGCAGGTCTTGGTGAGTTTGTAACACAGATTTAGAGACCAAGAGGCAAAGGAAAAAAAATATTGAGGTTCCTGAGTTTCTCTGCTCGAGGGGCTGAAACCTTGCAATGAAACAAGAAAGCCTTAAGATAGCCAGAAATTTCTTTTGTCCTGTGCAGCATTAGGTGCATAGGATATTTGGAAATTACACTGTAGAGACTTGTGGAATATTTTGGGTTCTCAGTACTTGTGCAAACTGAACCAGAGGTATTCCAGGCTGGACATCCACTCAAAATCACACCTCAGATATTGCTCTTCACTTTGTCTTTGAAAGGGCTAGATAAAATTTAAAATTAAATTTTCAATGTATTCTCACGATACTTGGTTAATTGTAAATGTACTTTTCATTTAAAAAAGTGGGAGTTCCTTTCTGTAATTTGGCATCACTACCTGATGCATGCCCTTATTTGTGGCCACTTAAATTAACTTGTCATATGGTTTTTTTAGTGATACAATTCCTAAATCATGCATGCCATGCTAGAACCAAATTTCATTCAATTTGGTAAGATCATGTGGGGGCAGAGAACTCTGTGTTAATAGACATTATTATGATATTGAAACTACAAATAATTTAGCTCTGGTGCTACAGCCTCTTTTATACAGCTGACTCCATCTCTATGAGGGATCTGTCTGAATGAAGAGCATATTTGCAGGATTGGGTGTGATTGACTGGATTGCAAATTTATATGGAATTTGTTTTTTATATTGTCATCTCTCTCTAACAGTTACTGGTGGAATCTTTGATTTATACTGTCTTGTGGTATTATATTCTGCAGAACTCCGGTTGCATTAATGAAGTCCATTTATATCATTTATATCCATTTATTTTCTAGATGCCAACAATACAGAAAGTTTTTTAACAAATTCAATAAATACATTCATCTTCTGTCTTTTTGTCAATAGCACACTTAAAAATCTTAGGTACCTCTCTCCTTGTCAGCAGGAACATTAAACACACTTAAGGAGCAGACATTTGTCTAAACACTGATGTGGTAATTATTTAACAAGATGATGCTATCTGACTCTGTTGGAAGCATGCACTTCACCTATGCAAATTCTTTAGGCTTGAGGTTTTTTTATGTTGGCATTCTTTCTTTCTTTCTGTCTCATATATTACAGCTGCTTGGAAAACTCCTGTGGAAAGGTACCATTAATAATTTCCAGTTCCTTACTAAAAAGTCATATTTTCCCCAGAAAACATAAGCAAAAGACCTGATGAATCTTTCTGTCCAAACATGCTAGTGGAGTTAGAGTGATGTGTGTTACAGCTGAGATAGGAATCTTTTTTGTTTTTGTTTTTTTTTTAAAGCACTGTTGAAACAGGAAAACTCCCTCTCCTATTTCCTCCTGTTTTCTCTGAGTTAAGTAAATTGTTCTGTCCCTAAAGATGCTTCTCTTTTTCTAGAGGGTTTATAAAAAATATTTTTCTATGAAAGCAAAGGATTAGTGCATCATTTATGACACAGAACATAAAACAGGTGGCAGAAATTCTTAGGCACAGTGGTGCATGTGGGAGAGACTCCTTCCTCACTGGCAGGGATGGGAGAGGTGCTCCTGGTAATATCCCAGCCTAACAGCAGCTTGAATTCACAGAAGGCTCAGAATGGAGGAAATTGTACTTGAAAACACAAAGTGAAAAAGATATAGTTCCTAGTTTTCGGGAAAGTGTGAAAAAACATGGGACTTGGCAGGAGGCTAAAAGCTTCCAGTACAAAAGACACAAAAGTACCTTTTGTACTGATGCTACACTATTCTAAGTGTATTTTCAGAGGAAAGCTGACATTTTTAAAATGTTGTTAGGCACCCAAGGTACAATTTTTTTTTTTTTTTAATGCTGGGTTTTGTGTCTTGTAAGGCAGAAGCTGTTTGCTACAAGTCCTGATATATGCAGCTCTACGCATTTTTCCTCTTTCTCCGTTTTCCCGATGGAAATATTTTGGGCCAGCTGCAGCTTGCAAGGAGCAAAAGTCTCAGAGGGCAGCACCTTGCTGTGGTGCTGCTGCTGAGCAGGAGGCAGCAGGTGGCTCTGGCCAGGAAGGGAACCCCATGGGTGTCGCTGTCGAGGCAGGACAGGAATGAAGAGACTCTGACCAGAAGGCTGTTGAGAGTAAAACTCTGGTTTATTCAAAATACGCTGCTCCCTGAGGATCAACTCCATTGGTGAAAACAACTTACATTATTGGTGCAAAGTGCTTGACACACAGTGATAGAACTTAACTATAAACCATGTGAAAAACAAGAGAGAGAAAAATCATTTACATTCTTTTCCAACTCTTTCACAGGCTTCTGCCTGGCTAGAAATGAGACCCACACATGGGAACCCCATTTTTCCTCTCGTTGCCTTCCCAGGCGCTCCGGGGCGAAAGGGACCACGGAGGAGGTGAAGCCGGGGGCCGAGGCTCTGAAGAGGTTGGAAGATCAGCGGCGCCGCCGGGGCGAGAGCGAGAGCGAGGAGCTGGAGAAGCTGAAGGAGAAGCAGCAGGAGGCGGCGGCAGAGCTGGATGAGCTGAAGAAAAGGCGGGAGGAGCGCCGGAAAATCCTGGAGGAAGAGGAGCAGAAGAAGAAGCAGGAGGAGGCTGAGAGAAAAATTAGAGAGGAGGTAAGCGTGAAGCACAGAATGTTGCGCTTGGGTTTCTTCCATTATTTCCGTTTTACTTCCACTCTCCTTGCCTTGGTTGACAGCTCTTTGCAGCATTGTCTAGTGAAGACCTGAGGAAAACATGGAGCATCCAGGTGATGCAGTGCTGGATTTTCCCCCAGCCAGCTCCCAGCACCAGGCCAAGAGTGGGCTGTTCCCAGAAAGCAGCACAGTCTGGGATACAGCTGTAGGGCTTTATCTCTACAGCACAAGAGAGCAGGAGCAAGGACAAGGGAGAGGTCTTTAGTATGGTTTCCAAAAGGATTTATTTTATGGAAGGGTCAGGGACCAAAGACACAGAACAGAGGTGGGTAGGGGCTTTTAAATGGGAGTGGTTCAAGGGGAGGGGACAAATCAACAGCTAATCAGAGATAACCTGGGGAGGGGTAAAAACAGGGTTCACAAAGGCATCTTCCAATGAGGGAAATAGTGTGGGGGGTGTTGGGTAACATGGACTAATGGGAGGTGTTACTTTAGGGGATTTCTGAAGTGGAATTCCAGTAGGATTGACAGGGAACTCAGGGTAGATTGATAGTGTCGGGGGGTGGGGGGGTGTATAATTTGGACCAAACCATTAACTTGGGCAATAACGGAACATCCCATTAGGAATAAGAACACGCCTCAACCTCCAGGGTATGAAAAAATATTCTAATTCTAGCCTTAGGACAGACAGGGCTCGAAAATCTGTTTTCACGAGTCAGAATTTCCTATGAGATAGCTGTGCATTTCTTATCTTCTTGGGGATTCAGGATCTTGGGGCAGTGCTATAGCCACAGATTTTTTTTTTTTTTTTTTTTTTTTTTTTTTTTTTTAAATTTTTTTTTTTTTTTTTTTTTTTTTTATATTATACAGATTGAATTACAAAGTGCATGTCATAATTTATCTGCTGCAGATGGGCTGGAATGCTAATGTTATATATAGTTACAATGGGCTAGATGTCATTAGGGAGATATTCTTGTCTATTTAAATATTGAGTATCTAACACATCTGTTTTCTTGTACTTCCTCTGCCAAGGGACTCTACAAATAGGATTTCCAATTCTCTGGTGCATCATTTAGGAATCCTAGTTGTTTGGAAAACAAATGGTAAATGAATAATACTGATAGTATCTAGCAGCTGAATGCCAATTCCTTTAATGTACTGAGCTCTTTACAGCAGAGCTCCACAGATGCCAAGATTGCACAATACCTTGCTGGTCAGACCCCACTGACCAGTGCTCACACTGGTGCTGCTTTGAGGGCTTCTGGTTTGACTTGTAGCTCATGAAGCAAAACTCACCTCTGGGGAGAGATCTGCAAGCATTTAATCTTGGGTTTCTTGGCCACCTATTGATTTTTCCACATTAAATATTAACCTTGGCACACAAGTGTCAGAGTAGAGGGACAGAAGAACAATACCAGTGTGATACATGAGAATACAGAGAGGCTGAGCTTGAGCCTTTTTCTCTGTTTAAGTGGAGCTATATGACAATAAATTTGGTGACTTCACTGTGGGGAGCCACTAGAGCAGCACACACTAATTGTCCTGGCATCCCTAACTCTGTAATGGATTGGCATTAACACCTTTATGCATTTCAGGCAGATCACTGAACTATTTCAAGGGATACAAAAACCTGTTTTTAGAAAATCTGTAAATGTTTGCAGGGCTGTACAGCCCTGCGACGGGGATGTAGGTTCTGAAAAAGATGAGTAAACATTCATATTTTTCAAGGAGGAAAAGAGGAGGATGAAGGAAGAAATCGAAAGAAGAAGGGCTGAAGCTGCTGAGAAACGCCAAAAGATGCCAGAAGATGGTGTGGCTGAAGACAAGAAGCCATTTAAATGTTTCAGTCCTAAAGGTTCATCTCTTAAGGTAACCTCCCCACTAGCATCTGTACAGGACATAAAAAGTTGTGGGGTTTGTAGTCCAAACTAACAGTCCAGCTTCAAAAGCAATGTTGAAATACTTGTAATCAAACCCAGGAAAAGGCTCTGGTAGACTTAGCCTGAAACCTCTAGCTGAAAGACTTCATTCATGATTGAAAATTAGATTGAAATGATGATTGAAAATTAGAATTCCTTCCTAGAAATAGGGAGTAGACTGGCAGCTGTCTTTTCTTGATGAAGAATCTCCAAAAAGGATCTTCCACCTCCAGGAAAAAATGGTTTTTGAAACTTAGAGCAGTAATACTGTGTTGATTTAAATTTCTTATAAGAGTGATTTGTGAACTGGAGTAGAATCACAGAATCATTTAAGTTGGAAAAGATCTCTTAAGACCATTAAGTCACAAATGTTCTCTCACTCCTTGCACATCCACATTTATTTTCTTGCTTGCCAGATTACTTTGTCCTTAAGCATATTCAGCCTGATCATCATTAATTGTAACTGACCTGTATGGGAATTCTAGCTTATGTCTAATCCTCCTAAAAATAACGTCTAGAAGTACTGGGCTGGATTTCATTTTCTTACATAACAAAAAGTACAAACCTCACCCTTCTGTTGCTGCAGGATTTCTAAATGGTCTTTTGTGGCCTATATCATATTAGAAGTGTGATAAATCAATTAAATGGTCTTTCAGCATGGAAAAGGAATCCTGGCCCCACTGAAATTATTGGGAGTATTGTTTTGGAATTCAATCCAGTTGCTTTCTCAGCTCAAGCTCAAACTGCAGATCTATTAATGTTTTCAAAGTTCTTTTCCTTTTTTCATTTTGTGTCATTAGCCATTTAAGAATCCAAACATTTGTCAAAAAGGCCACTTAGTGGGAAATGGGAGAGAAAATAACCAGCTAGGAGCTCGTTGAACTATGAATTGCATCTCCATGAGGTTAAAACTGTAACTTGTTTAGTGAAAAATTGCTTGGACAAAATTAGCTTTCCACTCATGGAGAGCTACTCTTTGATCCAGTCTGGGGATTTGGGTCTGTTTTGGGTCCAGTTCTAGCAAATACTGAGTCCAAATGTTTTTGAATGGACTCGCCTTTTGCTTCTAAGATACATTTGAATCTGAAATACTGGGACAGAATGCACACAGTTGTAAACAAAGATTGCAAATCTTTGTTACTTACTCTGATTAGTTAAACCTGGTCTTGCCATTTTGGTTGCTAAAGATGATGTCTTTAACAGACACTATAAATGTACAGCTTCTTCCCAGCCCTCCTGGGAGGGCTTCCTTTTCTTCTGTTTATTGAGATGACTTTTATGACATACATTTGGAGCTTTAATTCGCAGAAGGCTCAGAATGGAGGAAATTGTACTTGAAAACATAAAGTGAAAAGGATATAGATCCTAGTTTTGGGGAAAGTGTGAAAAAACATGGGACTTGGCAGGAGGCTAAAAGCTTTCAGGTACTTTTTGTACCGATGCTACACTATTCTAAGTGTATTTTCAGAGGAAAGCTGACATTTTAAAAATCTTGTTAGGCATCCAACATACAATTTTTTTTTTTTTTTTATGCTGGGTTTTGTGTCTTGTTAGGTAGAAGTTGTTTGCTATGAGACCTGGTATATGCAGCTCTACACATATTTTCCTCTTTCTCTGTTTCTGTGTTTGAGAAATTGGTGATACTCTACAGATTCCAGTGCAGTGTCTGTGGGTGGCCAGTGTAGATATGTAATGTTGTAGAAGTTCACACCCGAAACTGTTTCTTGGCATTCTGTGGTCAAGAGCTGAGGGGAGAATAATCTCAGTTTAATAACCTGATGTGAAACTTGATGACAAAATCCAGCTATTAGAAGACACTCTATTTTGTTACCTTTAATTTGGACTGACTTCCCAGGCTGGTCTCAGCTGCTTGGCGCACAGCTTTCTCACTGTCTGCCTGCACTGCCCAAGTTATCTTTTGATTTGTAAAGCATCTGGCACAGGTTTTCTCCTGTGATGGATGCATTGTCTCAGATCTGCCATGAGTCATGTGAGAATCCCAAATGCACAGTTGTGGGTGGGTGGTTGGAATTAATACTGAAAAAAGGGAGGCTCAGTATAAAAATAATGTATGGTACATGTGCACATTCTGACTTCTCCTGGGTAACAATCTGGCAAAGCACCTTTTTACTCCTTCCCTGTCCTTCCTGATTTGATAAGCTTTTGGGAATAAGGAGAAGTTTATAGGAGTGGCTAAGGAAAGCAGGGTGTGCTGATTGCTAAGAGAACTACAAGAACAAAGAAAAGAAGGGCTTAACAGAGCAGTAGTGAGAAAGCTGTGTGCCAACCAGCTGAGACCAGCCTGGGAAATCAGTCCAAATTAAAGGTAACAAAATTTACTGTCTTCTAATAGCTGGATTTTGTCATCAAATTTCACATCAGGTTATTAAGCTGAGATTACTCTCCCCTCAGCTCTTGACCTCAGAATGCCAAGAAACAGTTTGGGGTGTGAACTTGTACAACTCAGACCTGAGAGACAAAAATGTGCAGCTCCTCTCCACATATGACACAGCTTGTGTATGCCCAAATGTAAATGTACTTATATGAACATGGACAAAATATGCATATCTGCTTATATTTAGGAAAACCTGCTGTGATTGTCTAGTCTGGCCTCTAAAAATCACAGTGCTGCCAACTCCTGTTGTTTTAACTGGTAAATACAGTGTTTCCCTCAAACCTGACACAATACTTCAGCAGAGCTACCACAGTGTGGAGTCCTTGCAGTGGCAGCACGAGGGTTGGTTCCTTTTGTGGGGACAGTGAAAAGAAAACATGCCAAGTAAATATAGGCCAAGTTCATCCCTAGCTCAGGGACAGAAGCAGCTTGGATTTCTCAGGGCTGTGTGGACACCCTGTGGGCTGCAGTGGTACCAAACTTCTTTTCAACCTCTGTCCTGTATCTTGTTATTTTTTTTAAATAAGGACAAAGCCTGGAACAAGCTCTGCTGCTCTCCCATCTGCCTCTAGCTTGTCCTTTCCCTAACTTAGTTAATGCAAAACATGATTCATACAAAGAATTACATTAAAAATCTTTGAAAATTTTGCTTTTCAGACAAGTTCATTCCTCATATTTTCTTTGTGAGAGAAGGTTACTGAGCCCTTGTATTCTCTTTTCTGGGTTAATCAGGAGAGAACAGTACTAAGCCTCCTCTTGGGGGTGAACCACCATCACTAGAGAAATGCAAAAGCAGTTAGGTGTTGAGGGGAGGGAGCAATGGCAGGAGGCTGGGATTTCCCTGTATTTGGAGGAAATGTCTCCTGGGAAATGGGCTGATGTGGCAGCCAGCACTCTCTGCAAGGCATTGCTGACAGCTAACCCAGAAGACAGGACTTTTCAGAGACATTTTTTTCTTTAAAGACCTGTCTTGTCCTATCTCATTATTGCTCTCAATACCTGACAGCTGGGGCAGTGACTGGAAAGAATTAGACTGCACACAATCAGTTCTTCCTAGAGGAGCTATTCTTGAGGCAGAGGGAAAACAGAATGGTAAGAACAGGATATGTGACATTTGTTTTTCCCCATCTTTGATGCTGATGGCAGCACTTGAGTCTGGTAGGTAAACTGAACTAAATTGGCACACTCTGTTCAGGTGCTGCTAACAGCAGGAAAAAGCATAACTGTGCTCAATGAAGCAAGAGACTGTGTGAGCCACTCAGGGAGGATAAGGAGAAGCCTCTCCCAGGGACTACTGCTCCAGTGGATTTCCACCAGGTCCTTCCACATGTTGGATATGACGCAAAATTAAAATACAGGGTTTTGTGTGATTGTTTTTTATTCCACTTCCTCCTTGACAAAATTTTTTAAGATAGATCCATTTAAAAGTTTCTGTTGCATAATGTCCAATACACAGTTTAAAACTCCTATGAATCAATGTAACCTTTCTATGAAACAAGTTTTACTGGGAATATCCAATGGCTTTTGTTTCCCAAGTCATGGTCTCATATTGTGTGTTAACTCATTTTTTTCTGGCCATAATTTAATTAGAGGCTGGCAGGTTGACTTTTTTGAGTATGTGTGTGTTCTAAAAGTATTCTACAGTCACAAAATATGCAAAATACATAGTCCAAGCTATTTAACAAGATCCTGATAAGATGAATGTAGTAAAAAAGAGTATTTTTATTTCCTGGCCTGATACTGAGAAAACATCTTGAATTTTATGGTAACCACCTTGCTTTGCCTGTTTCTTTTACAGATCTATTTTGTCATACTGTTTACTGTATGTGCCAAACGTTTTAAATTCTTTGCATGGAGTTTGTATGATGTGCAGTGGGTAAATGACTTTTAGGTGTTGCTGTACAGTCTAAATGTGTTTGACTTCTCTGTTGAATACACATGTGTACAGGTTTGTTTGCTCTAGGTGTATTTGATGTCTGCTTCTGCTGTCTTTTGAGGAGGATATTCTAGAATAAATCCTCACAAAAATGTGCAGAAGATATTTTATTCTTCCATGCAAGGCATCTGCTTCCTCAGCCAGAGGGCCTTGCTGATCTCTGAGGGTTTCTTCCTAACTCTTTCTTGTTTATTTTCTCATTTTGCTTTTCCATTTTCCTCTTCTGAACAGCCCCTGACTTTTTCCTGATCCCACAGCTGGTGCTCTGAGAACCACTGTTACCAGTGGGGAAAGAATGACCCCACTTTTGTCCTTTTATTACAACCACAAGAAAAATGTTCCTTTTCCTTCCCAACTCTTCCACCAATTCCCACTTGAGCCCGCTGTGCAGAAGCATCTCTCCTACCTGCGCATAAAAAGAGTGTGAAGATTCTGTAAATGAATTATGAGGCAGTTGCCTTGAGTCCTGGTTCTTCGAGAGAGTCCATATTTGTCCTTGCTGCTCACCAGGGTTTCACTGATGCAGCTGGGGACAGTCTGGGGGTAAACTTGCTCTTGCTGGAATAACTCACCATTTTGCTGCATTGCTGGTTGTGACCCAGAAATCAGCGTTGGGGGAAACTTCTACTGTACCATAGCAGAAGTGATGTGTTTTAAGTGATCATCCATGTGTTTGGTCACTTTTGAACCATTTACCTGCTCGTTTTGTGGCACTGCCAGCTGCACCTCCTCTGGGTGAGAGCTGTAACCTTTTCCTGCGGGTGTGCAGGGCTCCTGCTCCTGCCGGTCTTTTGCTGCCACCTTGTGACATCCTCCCACTGAAACAGGGTCTTTATCCTAGCAAAGCCCATCTTTGTGCTCAGGACTGCTTTTAGCTCGTGTTTTGGCAACTAAAACTGGTAATGGAAATGACTCTGTAAATTGTATGTACTTTTTGGAGCTCTAGAGGTACCTTTGAGCTGGATGGGTGGTAGCTGGAATTCCTCCAGTGAGCTCCTTTGGCAAATTCTGCGCTCAAGTGAACTGCCTGCTTGCAAGGGCTTGAGAAATAAACTGTGCATGCTCTTTGATGGGATTGCTGTGGGATTTAGTATTCTGGGATAGCCTGGGATGCTGAAGGCACTGAGGAGAACCATTTAAAGCAATGGCTGTCATTGCCTTGTTTTAAAGGCATGAATGCCAGAGCAGTCACGGTTAAAGTAAATTGGAAATGGAGAGCCCCTGCTGAGACTGGGGAATCCCCAGGAATCCAGCCAGGCTGATTGTTAATCATTTCAATCCCCTGGAGCTGCTTGCATGTATTTTGCTTTTAAGTGAAATTGTAGAGCCTGGCATGAGAAGTGGAACAATGCAGTGTTGATAAGACTTGAGGAAGTTTGCTGAAAATATTTCTTGACCCAGAATACAAATAGATGCACAAACTCACCATCCCCCCACCCCACAAAGGGAAATGTTTTAAAACTTTATTCAGGGACGGAAGTTTTTTGTTTTTTTTTTCAAAGTATCGAGAGATTTGACAGGAGTCATATGAGACTTTCATGAGTCTTCCTCCCTGGAGATGTCACAATACTTTCCTATTTACAGAGTACAAAATAATGATGAAATGTATACCGGCTTGAATAATAACAGCTGGTAGATACTGATTCAGCAGTGACCCTGCCTGAACATGAGCTGGGTTTATACTGATGGGTTTTTTGGAGCCCAAGTTTAAATGGATCATGTCCTCCAAATACATGTGTAAGGGAGGCTTTGTGGCTGAGCTCCAAGCCTGGCCTAGTCTGATCTCTCAGCTCAGAAAATTGTTGTTAAATTTGCTGCTGCCTCAAGCGATACATACTTGCTCTTGTGTGGGAGATGTGGGGATAACATAGGTTTTGTGCATATCAATCCCTTCCATGAGATAGACTTTCCTCTTCTTTCTGCGTTGTTCATTTATTCTTTTGTTATGTATGAGGCTCTGAAGAAATGTGTAAGATGCAAACATTCATGAAAATATATCCATTTTTATGAATCTGTAGCATAACAGGCTCCTATCTATGAAACCTTTGTTGGGTCTGTGAAATTTCTCTTGGAATGTATCTCTTTCAGATTGAATTTTTTGACATTTAAAATGTCATTTCAGACTGACCTTGCACATGCTGACTCTACAAACTTTAAACTTAAAGCTTTTGTTCCTCTCTTTTCTAGATAGAGGAGCGAACAGAATTTTTGAACAAATCTGCTCAAAAGAGGTAAAGCAAAGAAACAGTAAGTTCAGTTCAAACAGCAATGTCTAAGTGGAGGGAATAATAATTCTTATAATTCTTGCTTTTTTTTTTTTTTTGTACTTCCTATAGTGGTATGAAGCCCACCCAGACAACAGCAGTTGTCTCAAAAATTGACAGTAGACTTGAGCAATACACTAGTGCAATTGAGGTAAGTTAATTCCAGTAAATTGATCTAGTTACTAATGGCTTTGGGGCCTTTAATCATCCTTTGTTTTGCTGTTCAAGCAGGGTTTTTTTATCACAAACTCTTCTTTAATGTAGGAACCAAGTGCTTGAAGGCACATCTATAACCAACATCTAGAGATGTATCTAAACAAAATCTCAGATTTGTGTTTTCCCTTTCATGCTGCAATTTACTCTGTTTTGTAAGCTGGCAGTAGTTTTGGAGGGTTCAGTCAGCATCTTGAGTGGCAGTCACATCCTCTGCTTGGCTGATGAGAGACCTGTCAGCACAGAGCTGATTGTTATCCTGAACAGAGTTCACCTAGCAGCTTATTTAGCAGAACAAGGAGCTGGCTGCCACCTCACAGTGAAATTCCTTGGCAAAGACATACTCTGCAGAGAACTAGTTAAGCAGGGACAAAAGGGAAATCAAAATCACATTAAAATGCAGAACCTGGCCTCAGGTGATTTTGACAGCTGTGCCTAAGAGCCAGAACTGAGGGTTTTTTCTGTCCATAGTCCAAGGTAAAATAGGAGATTGATACTACTGTATCCAGCTGCCTGACTAAAATATTTCCTTTGCTGAGTTTCTGATCTGTCCACAAATTGCCAAAATCTGCCTTTCTTTGCAATTAGAGAAGCAAAGCATCAGTCATACAGATTATTATCCTCATCCAGTCTATGATTTGTAAAATGTGCAAGAATTTTGAAGAGAAGAAAGAGGACTAATTTGGCCTGGTGTTTTTAGTAACCGTGCAAAAGACACATTTGCACCCCCCCCAAAAAAAACCACCCAAAAACTCCTACCCAGTTCTCCACTCTTTGAAAGAACACCTTGTTTCAAACATAATGTAATTGCTGAGATTTACCCCTAGAATGCTGAGGTTCAGTTGTCTGGAGCAGATGGAGCTCTGAATCTGAATGACAGAACAGAATCCTCTGCAAAAGGATTCCCCTAGCTCGGTCCCTGAAGGAGCCAGGCTTCCAGGAGCCAGGTACTAACTAAGATTTCAAAGCCTTGGAGCAGTTGTGTGCAGAGCTAAGGTTTGCCATGGGTTTTAGAAAGGCAATAAACACAAAAATAAGGGAGTGCCACTTTCACAGCTGGTTGTATCAAATCGGAAAGGGGAGAGAATCTCAGTGGCACCTCTTGAGCTGGGTACTCCTTCTCATCTTTGCATGATCAGTGCTAGAACCACATAGAAATGCTGCATTCCCCAGAGTCAAACCACCCTGCAAATCCAGCTCTTAATGCCGAACACCAACTGGCCCAAATTTTTCCCCAGGGCACAAAGGCTTCAAGACCAGCTAAAGCTTCCGACCTTCACGTTCCAGCTGAGGGCGTCCGTAATATCAAGAGCATGTGGGAGAAAGGGAATGTTTTCTCATCAGCTTCTGCGGCAGGAACACCAAATAAGGTATGTGTTTAATTTTCTGAGTGATTATAAAGAATTATGCTCTGGTCCTGACCTTGCATTTGTGTTTCTGTGAGTAAGCCTGTGTGTTCCTTCTCATTACTGGTGATGAATACCCCAAAGGATCCTGAAGACCTCAGAAATCCACAAGATGGTGTGACTGCAATATTGAGTATAATGGAAGAATTTAGTGACCTACTGAGCTCAGTTATGAGACATTCCAGAGTCACATCAGATATCTTAGAAAAATACATCTGGGTCATTCAAGCAGAGTACAAAGAAATTCTTTGAGTAGGGCAAAATTCTTTTGGGAAGCAGAAGAGCTTTGAATAGGCAGGGTAGTGATGATATTTTCTAGATAATTTGTAGAAGTATTTGTGAGACCTTTATCTTTTCTGTGTCAATCCTTAAGGCAACATTTTCTTTCTATAAATTGATGTGAGTTGCTGGGCATTTATCATAGGCAAAAGGATGAGCCATGGATTGAAGTGGGTTATTGCAGATGGTAATTAATTTTTAGCCATTTGTTCTAGCCTTTTAAAGATTTAATGTTTTAAATTTTAGACCACTTCTCTATGGTGTACTTATTTTTTAAAAAAAATAGTTTAGCAGAGAAAAAAAGTAGATTTGAACTGATGTCTCTTCTATTAAGCTAAAGATTTTTGGATTTGGGCTTGTAGTAGAAACAGCCTGTTTATGACTGACATTTATTACTGGGGTAGCAGTAAAGTAGAGATGTTTTTTTGTCAGTCCAGGTATATAATTTTTGAAAACTAGAGAGCAGCAGCACTGTATAATTAATAGGGACAAAGCCTTCAGAGCACACAGGATGTCTCTGAGCAAACCATAGGCACAGTGAGGACCTCTATTAAACCCAGGCTTGGCATGGCAAACAGAGCAAAAGCCATTCTGAAAGTCTTCTGATTGGATTTTATCATTTTGCAGGAAACTGCTGGACTGAAGGTTGGTGTCTCCAGTCGTATAAACGAGTGGTTGACCAAGACCCCAGAGAGCAACAAATCCCCTGCTCCAAAACCTTCCGTAAGTAAACTTGGAACAAACATCTCTTCAGTAGGTGGGCTCTCTCCTGGGGCAGAGGGTGCTTCCTCCACCAGCTGATGGCCTGTGGAGGAACTCTGCTCTGTGTCCTCTTGGCAGCTCACAGCCCTCTGGCTGCTGACTCCTTGTAGTCAGAAAATGGGGAGAGGAAACAAGGAAGTTCTCACCGTAAAGCTCAGAGAAGCATTTATCTGGTGAAGGACGACTTTAATTTGCCACCTGTGTGAAAGGCTTACCATTAATTTAGAAATTACCAGCCACAGACCCCAGATTGCAAACTTACACACACTTGGAGTTTGGCCCTTGCCCTGTAAAAATCTTCCAAGTATGTTTTAAAACACAACTGAAATAATTTAGTTTTTATGAGCTTAAATATGGCTTTTAATGAAGGCCCTTTAGCCTGCCCATTAGTTCAGCAAGAAGCAGAGCAAAAAATGTTGTCAAGGTAATAAACTGGGAATGTGGGAAGCAGCAGAGTGGAAAGGAGCAGGAAGAGGTAAATGTGGGGTGGGGAAGGGTAAGGATGGGGAATAGGAACATAAATATCCATGTGGAGAATCATTTGTGATGTTAATGGTTCAACTTCAGGATTTTGTTAAAGAGCTGGTTTCTTCCCATATAAAGCACATGCTTTAATATGTGCTAGAGTATTATATTTAGCAATAAACATACATAACACACTGCATATATGCAGCTTTTTCCTGCCAGTTCACCTGCCCTTTATAAAAAGTGCAGCCTGAAAAACACTTTCTCAATTCACACTCCTATTTGTCCTAAAGAGGAATTTGAAATTTGCAGCATTGTCCACTGTAGAATCTGCCTCCAGATTTTTCTCTTATTCTTTTAAGTTGCATCTTTTAGACAATGTAAAACTAATCTCTTGTTTTTCCCTCAGACAACTGTTTCTATGTCTTAATCTCCCTCTTTCTCAATAGATTGTTTTTTCTTCTTTCAATGTCTCTGCTTGAAGGAACGTGTCCTCCTCCTCTTCTTCTTCTTTGGGGGTCTGTTTGCTAAGTTGGTCAGGTAAACCTGTTTATAATTGACTATGAAGGTTTATATACATCTATAATGTGTGATTTTTACTTTTTTTTTAGTCAGGCTAAATCTAAGGGAAGCCTAGAATTTCTTATTTAGCAAATAATTTCTCACCCTCATCACATTCCACCAAAGTTAAGAAATGTTCAAAGTTTTTGTGGTCATTGAGATTCTTCTGGATTTTGGAAAAAATACTGAATTCAAGGCACAGCAAAGATTTCAGTTTTACAAATCACAGATCCCAAATTATTTTAGGGCTATGGAAGAGGATTTGTGATGATGTCCACTGCAAATGGCTTTGTGATAAGGTCAAAATTGCTTTCTTCCTTCCTCTGTTACTACTGAACTGCCTTTTCAAAGAGCAGAATTGGCTTCAAGTTTTAATCATCAGCAACCCTGTGTGGCTGCAAATTAGGATCCGTTCTGGAGGGTCTCTGCTGGGTGAAAATATCCCTTGCAGGAATCTCATTTCCATTTATCACTGAGCATTTTACAGGTAGAAATTCTCATTTACCTCCATACAGATGGCTACTACAAAATCCTGGAAGCCATGCAGGACTTGAACAATTCCTGAAAAGGAGACTACTTATGTCCAAAATTATTTGAGTCTCTTGTTTGCCATGCACAGAGATAGAGATCAATCCATCTGCCCAGCAGATGCCATTTTCATTTGCAGCCTTCCTTTTCCCCAAGAATCTAATTGACATTTTTATGGAGCTTTGATTAAACTCTCAAAAATACACTCAATTTCAGAGATTACTACTATTCTTTAATCACTTTACCTCATCTGATTTTTTTAAATCTTGTTTTGTGGGGTTTTTTTGTGTTTTTTTTCTTTCCTCTTGTCAGGCTAGTGATTGGCACATCCTAAGGTTGCAATGGATGCAATGGAAATTTAAATGGATATATGGATATGAAGGACTACAGTGATAAGTGCTGAAATCTGTATTTAGGGATATAGAGTAGGATCTGCTCTTTTGTTGTTATTAAAACTCCAGCTTGGTTTTTTACATAATTTTAAAAATAAAATATTTTTATTTTGATGTAAAATAACCAAGAAAAGCTACTTCTGAATTCCTCCCTAGCAGAAATACTTTCCCTGAAAAAAAAGTTGGTTTTTTTTTTTCCAAAAAATAGGATATTTTTTTTCTAAAAATATGAGGGTGCAGTAACTCTTCACTACACTTCCTAAGTTTAATGTACTGAGTTAAGACCAGTCTGTGCCATATGAAATAGATGCAACAGGATTGGTTGTTTTTCTTAAAATATGGATATGTGTGGAGTTATTTTGTGAAATATAATTCTTTATAACTCATAGACAATGCAATGTTTACCTCTGGTGGATATTCCTCAACTTCTCTCATGAGGAAGTTGCATTCTAACTTTTTCTTTAACAAGTGAAAATAAACCTGAACTAATATTGATTTCTGTTTTCTGACATTAAAAATACAGGATTTAAGACCAGGAGATGTATCTGGCAAACGTAATCTCTGGGAGAAGCAGTCAGTGGAGAAGCCAGCTGCTTCTTCTAAGGTAATAACACTTCTGGGCAGTATTTAAATTATAATATTCTGCTACTAACCCAACTTTTTAATCTAGAAAAGAAAGCACAATGAGGTTCAGAAAGCAGTGTATCACTTTTATATTCCTGTTTGGCAGAGCTGTGTTATGTGTGGACATCTGTTGATGTTTTTTTCCTGTTATAAATAGCAATGTTCTTCTATATGGGGTTTTAATAATGTGTTTTTGCTTTTTCAGGTATCAGCTATGGGGAAAAAATCAGAGACTAATGGTAAGTAATGCCATAATGCATACATTGCACTTGTTTCTATAGTTTAATACATATTATTACATCTATATAATAATATTATACACATAATGTTAACATAAACCATTATATGCATATTTAATAAAATAATACATACAATATTTGATGATATGCACATGATAATACAATGCAAACATTGTAGTACCTATTATTATATAGAAACATTGCTACTTTTTGCATAGGCATACCTGTGTTTTAAAATTCTGCAGCTGTTCAGGTAGATGCCAAAACCCCCTTTTTGCCTTTGCCTTTCAAAAACTCCATTATAATAATATTGAAGCATGAATGCTGAGAAACTTCATTTGCTGGAGCTGTGCACTGGTGTCTTTTCAAGGCAAAAATAGTTATGCTATTGTCATTTTGAAACCACTAGTTGGTGAAAGACAATTTAGTTTTACAGAAAGAAATCAGCAGAATAGTCCTCTTAGCTTTTTGTTTTTATTTTAACTTAAAGCACTCCAAATAAAGCCAATTAAACTAATTGTATGGCTAAAACCAGTGGGGAAGAATGGAAGATCATTGACCAATTTAATATCTTTAAGGGTACTTTGCAGCATCCTTCGATTCTTTACTAAGAGTGAAATGACCAAATAGAGAAAAACTCCTTGTTTTCCACACTTCAATATTTGCCCACACATTTTTAGTAGTTTTATGTAAAGGCAGACATATGGTACACCTGTAAACTTTTGGTTTTGGTTTAGAGTCACGCAAAGCAGAATGGTTTTGCTCCTCTTTGTCTTTTTTCAAACCAAAGTGTCACGAGAGGGGTTTTTGGGCTGGCTCAGGGTTAGTGCAGCCCTGCTCCCATGGGAGGTGTTCTCCACCCACAGGAACAGTCCCAGCAGAGGAGTTTGGACACTGCTGAGCAGCCTCTCCTCAGAGGCTGAAATCCTGATTTTTGTCCTCCTTGGGACCACCTCAGAGCATCCCCAGTGCATGAGCAGAGCAGCACCCAGCTCATGTCCTGCCTTCTTACATGTTAACCTAGAGAGCTGTGCCTTTTCTGTTCTAGAGAGGTGTTTGGGTTGTTTCAAGGCATATTTAATCTGTCTCTTTCTCAGCAGGTTTGAGACAATTTGAGAAAGAACCGTAGAAGGCCACTAAAGACGCTGGACCAATCAATTTTGGGGGAAAAAAAAAAGGAAAAAGTGCTAAATTGTTCTTTTTATATTTATGTTTATTTACCAAAATGTCTTTTTGCATTATCCCAGTTAAAACCATGTATATTAGCACTGTATTTAATAATCAGTCTAGACATTCATCAGAATAGTACTGCCTTTGCACAAGAGCCTTTATTCCTAAAGAAACCCATGCTGTGAAATATATAGACTCTCCTACTGACAGCCATAAATATGTATCTGAACAATGATTTCAGCTGGCATTACAGGTCCACCCAAAACACATGTAAAGTGAAGTTGCTTGGGAAAGGTGTGCAGCAAACCTATCAGAAGTCTTTTTCTTTCTGCACTTTAGACTAAGGCATGGAAGAAATATCTTTAGTTGACAATGTAATATTTTCTGTAAGTTGCCCATGTCATGAGAAATACTGCATCAATAATGTGTTTTATTTTTTTTTGTTTTATACTTTTTTTTAAGTATCAATTTTTCCATTCTAGTTTAAGTTAATACCTAAATTTGGATGATTATGTTAGCTGACAGCGGTACTGATATTTCTTTTTGTTGTTAGTGACTAGTAATTGAATGCAATCTAGAATATATATACACACATAGCTTTACAAGGTTTAGCCTAAAGGCACTACTAATGGTAGAATGCTTTACTATGTGCTAGAGTATTATATTTAGCAATAAACATACATAATTAGCCAATATCACAGCTTAAAAAAATAAAGACAAAATCACACACTTTTCTATAGTAAGATTTCATAATTGTCATTAGAGGTATGGTGAGATAAGTATTAAAAAATTTAAATGTCTGTTGCCCAGTAATGGGTAATTTAAAAGAAAGTATAGTTTTTAAAAGAGGAAAAGGTAAGGGTATAGAGGGTCAAAAATAGGTCACTTGTATAAAACATTGTAGTTTAATTTATATAAAACTACCATAATTAAAAAGAAAAAAATGTAAACAGAGTTGGAGCTTGTTTCAAATGACTGTACACTAAATCTTGCCATCCATCAGTGCTGTACACCAGGTCTACAAGAAATGAAGTAAACCTCTATCTTTGTGACGCTTCTTTTTACCTCTCTCTCCTGAATATCATATTTACAGATGTTTTCATTTGTATATAGTAAACACATGGCTCTAAGACGTCAGCTTGGTTTGAATTTACATGCCATACAGTTTAGCATTTACATCCTACAGTGTATGGGTGGCATAAACTGAGCAACTCAAGTAGCCCCTAAGCATGTTGTTAACAGCTTTGTGGTGCACCAGAACCCCCAGGACCTCCCTTATCGCCACTTCCATATCTTACAGCATCTGACTTCTTCCTAAAGAAGTGTAAGGTTCTATTTCAGCCCAAAGCTGGGCTCCTCTTGCTTGGCTGAAACATCTTGTTTACAAATAGAGATGCACAAAGTTATCTGTAGGGGGTGAAACTGTGCCTACCATTGTCTGTGAGTTGTCATGGTTTTTGTTTGGGGGTTTTGTAAACACTGCTCTGAGTCTTTCAAATACATCTGATAGCTGCAATAAAAACATTTTGTTCAAACAATATATTCTGCAACTGCATTTGAAATAAATGGAACATTTCCATCAGCAGCCCCGTTTGTTAATGAGCAGGAATGGACCAGTTGTTGTAAGTGGGAAAGAAATTGTGCTAAGTCCATGTGAAATAAGGTGAAAAAACCCTAAGGATGTCCCTCTTGCTGCCACAAACCAGCCTGACTTTGGCCTAGCAAAATCTGTCTGAAAATATTTTAGAGCAATTAACTGTGAAGCTGTCTCAGGGTTCACTTTGGTGATTTTGAAGAAGAATTTTTTCCCGTGCTTTCCTCAGATAAAACCAGCCTGTGTCTGAGTGTAATATTCTGGGTGCTGCCAGCAGAGTTGCAAAAATCTCAGTTTATGTTTGAGACTCCCAGTCTGATGTTGGAGTCAGCCCTTATGTTCAGCTGGCTGGGTTTTACTGTGAGTTATCCCTGCCCATGATGCTTTCTTCAGCTTTCCCCAGGAATCACACAGGAGCTCAGTTTCTAGGAATTCAGAGGAAGGGCTGTGTGAGGCAACAGTTACAGCTTTCCTCTTTAGGTCCTAGCTAGAGTACAATCCTGCTTTGAAGAATAAGCCACAAAGTGATCTGTATGTCCTGTCCTCATACAGAAATGATAGAAACTTATTTCTATCTGTATTAAAACTTGTAAAACCCTAGACTTTAGAAAAACATGCCAAACTATAAACTATAACTATAAAACAGTTTAAGGATTACAATGATCAACTTCTGTGGTTAATAAACTTTATTCATATAAAATTTTAAAGTATTAGAAATACTCTATGAACATTACAAATATATAAAAGCAATGTAATTAGAGCATACTTTGACAGTGACTCATGAGCCGGTATGACTGACCACACTGGAAGTAACATATAAAAAACTCCATGTAAGTTCCTGGTTTTTTGTTAAGCATGTTTCTAATTAAGGAAGACCAGATAAAAAGGAAAGGAAAAGACATTGTCTTTTCACTACTAAACAAAACCAGATTTCTGCTAAGCATCTTTACAAAAACCCCACCCTTATTGCTGTATTCTTGTATCAGTTAGTGGTCTCCTCCTTAAAAAAAGGAGGAAAAAGTAACTGCTCATAACCATTATCAAGTACAGAAGAAGAAGCCAAGATCAAGTTGCAGAGCACATCTAATCTGGAAGGAGGTCCTGCAGGAACAACCTGCATTTAATACTCTGCTTTGAAGGGGTAGTCCTTGTGGTTGACAGCTCTGAAAAGAGAAAAACCTTGTTATTCAAGCATGCAGAAAGTAACCTGAGCAGCATTTCCTTGTGGCAGTCTCCCTCCCTCACTGCAGAACTCGGGTTCTGCAGCTGTCATTGAACTGAACACAGGCCTGGAGAAGCCCCTGGAACACCAATGTGCTGGAGGGAATGCTCCAAATGAATCTCCCTCCTGAAGATGCAGGACATGCCTCATTCAAGTTTGAATTATGAGCTCTCCCTGGTTTTGGTCATGTATGTTTTCAATACGGGGGGAGTGAAAATACAGACAGAAATAGGACAAAGGGATAGTAAGGATAATAAGGAACGTACTGGATCACTGGAACTGCCCTCCAGTTCCTGTTAAAACTGAGGATGACATCCATCTCCTTTTTCGACAGCTCAAAGTCAAACACCTAGCAGGAAAGAGGGGAAAAAAAAAAAAAAACAAACAAAACCAACTCTTTTTACTTGGGTTCGTGAGTAGTTAGCTCCTAAGTGTGCTTCATGCACACACTTAGGACTTGAGGAAGGAATGCATTAAGTAGAGTTAAGCAATCCTCTTATTTCTTAGGCAAATAAGAACCCTTGAAGTCATCAAGACAGTCCTGTTCTTTCTGAGGTGCTGTTCATAGCAAGGTCTTGCATTTATGGGTAGTTGAATCCCAACACCACTGCACTTTTGTGTTGTAATGCACACAGAGAAGACTTTAGGTGCTCAGGATATGTCAGAAATACCGAAACTAAAGGTAATTTTCTGCTATGAGAGAGAGCTACTGAGTAGCAACTTCAAATAGTTGCCTCACAGTTATTCATCTGAAGAGTTCTTGCTGGGTTTTCACAGGAAAAATAACTCCAAACCCTCTCACCGTGGATTGAAAGCAACACAGAGGTATTATATAAGGTGCCACACCTTATGAGCAAACTTATCCAGCTGAACTTCACTGCCAAGGGGAGCCACAGCCTCACAGTGAGACAAACTCTAACAGGTCTGCTGTTTGTTCACAGCTTGTTCCTTTACACCCTAAGTTAACCTTTTCCCCAAGGGCAAGTCCAAACCTGGGGCTCCCTTTCTGCAGCAGCAGGGCTCAGACAACCCTGGTGTAACCCATTTCTCTCCTAGCTGGAACAAACTGCTTTTTCCCACATGGTTTGGTAGTGCTGAGCCCCAGTTTTCAAATCTCTGTACCCCTCTTCCAGTGCCTCAGGTGCTGCTTGGAAACACAGAGGGGCTATGGCTGTGGGTGCCTATCCTGCACAAAACCAGCCAGCAGCATTTCCTAAGGGATCTTCACCTTCATGTTTTCCACAACACGGTGCGGTTTGTCAGATTTGGGAATGACAATGATGTCTCTCTGCACCAGAAAGCGGATCAGGACCTAGAAAAGAACAAGGAGGAGCATGAACACTGAGGTCCCAAGACATCTATTCAAACACATTTTGTGGATTTTTTTTTTTTAATCTGTTATTTATTTTTCACTCTTTGAAAAACTACCACTTTGCATACAGGAGTTTGAGATGCCAGGATTTGCTCATGTATTTGACAGAAGACTGGCAAACTGTAATTTTTTTTCTAGCCTATGTTGTTTCAATATTGTGGCTTTCGCAGGATTTGTTTTGTTTTTGTTTAGGGTAGTAGCAAGGGGAGAAAAAATATGATGCTCTGGTATTATGTGAGTGCTCAGACTCAGTGAGCATAATGACACTACATATAATTTGGGCTCACAGGTAAGTACCTCATGAAGGTTCAGTTTTTGGAAGTCCATAAAAGGAAAAGCATGTTTACAGAATTTAAAAGTTCCCTCCCTGAAAAAACAAAACAAAACAAAAAAAAAAACAAAACCAAAAACCAAAAAAAAACCAACCAAAAAACCAACTGTTGCATACAATGTTTTCATCCTGCTCTGCCTCTCTTAAAATATGATTATCTTTGATTTCACATGAACATGTGGCTTTGTTTGAAGTGCAGCTTCTGCACACCCCAGGCAACAACTAATTTGTGTGACTAACAAACTAATAGAGAAAAAAAAATCTTAAATAATCAATCAGCTTTCAGTAATTCTTTGTGAACACAAGCAGATTGGAGGCAATCAAATATGTCTCCAAATTACTTCTGAACAATAACTTAGCTGGAAAAAGGAATAAAAAATTAGGAAGGTGGACACCTGAGGTAAGCACGTACCATTGCTGATCAGTCCAACCCAAAACTTGGCACTCAAGACCTCCGTGAAAAGATCTGATAATTTTTATGAATGCTGTTAAGAACTTGGGAAGAATAAAGAGTGAAGTTGAGCCCCATTATAATGTATCTCTAGAGAAAGTAGCATCTACTATGACTGGCCTGTAAGACATCTGAGGAGGAAGAATGGTTTGCTCTGACAATTTACCTGGGCAGGGCTTTTATGATGTCTGTCTGCAATCTCTTTAATCCTGGGGTCATCCATAAGCGTGGGTTCCCCTGGCTTAGCCCTGTTAAAAAATAGAGATGATGGTAGTAGAAAGGTGACAGCTTCCCTGTAGGAGCCTTGCATCATGTCACATAGTCTGCATCAAGACATTTTAACTGTATCATTTACCAATATAATAATAGTAGTAGTAGTGATAATAATAATAATAATAATAATAATAATAATAATAATAATCTTCACAGCTGCAGTGTTTTGTGTGCAGGAAGGCTGCAGAGCTCTCTTACCATGGGCGGTTAGGAGAGCCCAGGGGGCTGTATGCTGTCACAGCAATCCCTTTGGATTGGCAGTACTTGACCAGCTTCTCCTGGGTCAGGTATGGATGACATTCTACCTGCAAGCACAGAAGGATGTTTGATCAGAGGCAGACTTTGCTGAGCTGCAGAGCATGACATTTTAAATCCTCTTGAGTCAAAGAAAATGGGAAGACTTGACTTCCAGCATCACGACTCAAAGCTGTTTTATGAAAAAGTTGTTAATGTCACAGCAGTATCTAGAGGCTTAGCAGAGAACAGAGCTTTCTCATGCTACATATTACCCACAGAAAGCAAAAAACAGATGAGTGGAAGTGTTATCTGTGTGGAATCTGGGAAACGAGCCTTCTTGGACTACTGCAGGGCAGGATTGCATCGTCAGAGGGCCAGCTCAGAATGCCTCAAGTTTATTTTCTGCTCTGATGCACCCAACCTCTCCTTGCCTCAAGGAGCCTCTCTCATTCCTGGAGAAGCTTGGGGAGATGATCTGAGCTAACCTAAGGAAGCAAGTCCGTGTTGCAAATAGATGTTTGGGTAAGATATCCTGAAAGCAACAGGAGCTCCATGGGGATGCTGCTCAGCTGCCACAAGCCATGTCATGACCACAGGGCTGTGTCTGTGCTGCTTCACGTGGCCCTGTGCACATACCCAGCTGTCTCTGAACACTGCAGCTTCACTACCAGGCATGGTGACATGAAAAATGTGTACAGTAGTTAACTTACACCTGAGCTAGTGTGGGATTTCCCTGGATATTCCCCATCTGGAAGAGATGGGCATTCAGCACCCTCAGCTGCGTGCAAAGAATTTCTGAAATGGAAGAAAATCAGAATATCCCTAAGCTGCTGCTGTCTTGTGATTAAGTTCATGAGGTATGTGGTGAGAATTTGGTATGTAATTGTACTCTTCAACCTCCTTTCTGTAATGGAGTAGTTTATTTTATGTTGAGAAATGAGAAAGTCCTGTGCATCTCTGTATAGTCCCGTTCTGGTGCAGAAACTCCCAGGGGGATTTTGTTGAATATATTTAAGATTACTCTAAATATGTATTATTTATATAGAACATGTGTATTATATACTATATTAATTTGATTATGTATACACACACACATTCTAAATAC